TGGAAACCGCCACAGCTGCCCTTGATTCAGTCCCCTAAGGACTGCTCCAGGTTCGCTGAGGCCTATTCTTTGCCTGCAGGCCCATGTTGAACTGTGCTCTTCTCCCAGCCCAGTGCAATAGATCTTTCCAATCAACCATCCAGGTCATCTTGGGCTAGAAATTTGTTTCACTCTGTCTTTTTGTGGGTTCTGTTGCTCTAGAATTTGTTTAGAGACATTTTTTATAGGAATTTGGAGGGTTTGGGGGAGAACTCAAGCCAGTCACTACTTTTACTCCACCATCTCGGCTCCACCCCTGGCAGCCCAATAAAACCAACATGACCAACTCTTATATTCATCTCTGCCCAGGAACCTGGGAGTTCTCCTTCCATTTAGCTTCCCTCTCTTTATCTTCTGTTTTCATTTACAGCAAGATTGTCAATATGGATGTGTATCATTTCCTCTAACAGTTTGCCTAATTGTTCATTGGACACATTAAGAGAGTACCAAGAAGTAGTCAGGCAGTCAGCATTTACAAGTGCTTACTATATGCTAATATAGTATATTAGAATATATATATAGTATATTAGTATATATATAATATAGCACTGTGCTAATGTTAAGCATGAGGGATGCCTATACAAGTAAAAAGAAACAGTTCCTGCCGTCAAGGTGCTTAGATTCTAATAAGAGAAGACAGCCTATAAAAGGGACCTGGGGAGAAGGTACCCCTACAGGGACCAGGTAGCCTGGAAGATGAGAAGAAAGCTTTTCATAATACCTTTATCATGGTGGTGAAGTCCAAGAAAATCAAAATGTTGAATGAAGCATAGTGAACCTGGATCTGTCCCCAAAATGAAGGCATCAGAAGGGACTCATCAGTGAAACAAGGGGTCAGGCATGGACGTAGGGTCATAGATGGTAAAGCTGGTAGGGACCTGAAAGGTCTTATCCACTTACGTAAATTTATAACCTGGTGGCCAGTCTTCTCCTTATGAGCCTGTCTTTGCTTAAGCAGCCTAGTCCTGAAGGCAGCTGATACCTAGTCCCTAGCGTGACCCATACTTCACACCTTTCCAGCGTGGTAAAACCTGCCAGGGCTTGTGATGCCCTGGCATAGAACCCGGGGTCACATCCATGCCACAGTGAGGCATCAGCCAAAGGGTTTTTTTTAAAGGTGCCAAGTGACTAATCCTGCAAAATATTATAAAAGTTTTGATATTAGGAACTTTCCACATGGGAGGGAGAGTTGCTGGCCAAAGTGTTAACAAGGAGTACACCCTTACCACCTGCACCTATAACCAGTCTGTCTCCTACTTACGGAAGACAGAACTGACATTAGCATCTGTAAAATAAGGGGGTCAAACTAGATGACCTCTAATGGCCTTTCCAGGGCTAGGTCTTTGGTCTGGTGACATTGTGATCATACAGATGCCATAGATTGTGTAACAAACATGACTCATTTGTGGGGAATCTTCCTGGTGGAAATAGATTTTGTTTTTGCTGTTCCTAGATTTAGAAATTTTTTTTCCTGTGACTGCTGAGAAAAAATGCTGAAATACCGGGAAAAAGAGAGAAAATACATAACAAGATAATCTCAGGGCCAAGTGCTGTACCATTGTACTGCAGGGCTATTTTAAATTATAAGAATGGGGATTTAAGTAAGAAACAGTCCTTTCTAGGAGTTTGATGTTGCCTATCTTGTTGGAAAGAAGCTGGACTGTTCTGCTACACAGAGCAAAGCATGCTCATGAGATTTTTTTTCTTTTAATTATTATGAACTTGACAAATATCAACAAGCATGAACATGTCCTTATAAAACAAACAAAAGAAGACTGCAAATCAAACTCTTGACTCTCAATTATGTGCAGCTGGTGAATTTTTTGTATGTTTCAAATTTAATTTGGTAGTACCAGCACTGCCTTTGTTGTGTGTCCCCTTCTGAACTTCTTTCTGCTCTCTTCTGTGTATTTTTAATTATTCATTGACTATTTTTTCTTTTTTTTCTTTTTTTAGTATTTCCCCCCACCTCTCACCAAAAAAAAACAAAACCAAAAAAACCCTCTCTTGTCCCAGGTAAATATGTTTACTCAAAACAAATCCATAAAAACCATGTCTGAAAAAAAATGCCTCAGAAAGTACCTCTAAGGATCACCTTTCTGCTCATGAGTGGAAGTTAATGATCGACCATTGCATTAATCATAGTTTTGGAGTCTTTCGTGGTTGTTTACCTTTACAGTGTTGTTATCACTGTATAAATTGTTCTCCTGGTTCTTCTCACTTTACTCTGTATCAGTCTACATGATACCTTCCAGATTTCTCTAAAGCCACCCCTCTCATCATCTTTATGACACAGTAAAATTCCATTACATTCATATACCAGAATTTGTTCAGTCATTCCCCAATAGATTAACACTCATTTTGTTTCCAGTTCTTTGTTACTGGAAAAAATGTTACTGTAAATGTTTTTGCATATGTGAACCTTTGCATTCTGTCTTTCACGTCCTTGGGATAGTCAAAGTGTAATGCCCAATTTAGCTACTTTTGGGGGGATGGCTCCACTTTGCTTTCCAGAACATAATTCCCCTAACAATGCATTAGTATGCCTGTCCTCCCAAAGTCCATCCAACAATTGTCATTTCCCTTTCTTGTCATTTTTGCCATTCTGATAGGTGGGAGATGGAACCTCAGAATTGTTTTGATTTGTAATTCTTTTATTTTTATTGCCTTAGAGCTTTTTTACATGGTTGGTGATAGCTTTTATTTCTTTTTTTCATTCTTTTAAAAATGTTTTATTGATGTATTGATTTTACATCACCGGTTTCACTTAGTATCCCTCTCTTTCCCCCTCCCGGAGAGCCATCTCAATATAACAAATTATATTTGAAGACCACCCCTTGCAAAAAAAGAGGAAAAATAAGCATAATTGAGCAATACATTGAAAATGTCCAAAAATAGGTTCATACTTGTGGACCTCTCACCTCTGCAAAGGGGTGGAATGGAGTAGGAGTATCTTCTAATATTTCTTTTTATCAAGACAGTTTGCATTTTTTGTGTTGAGAACTGCCTTTGCCAATTCCTGTGATCATTTATTTATTATGAGTTCATATGACTTAGATCCAAAAGAGACCTTAAGAGCTCATCTCATCCAGCCCCCTTATTTTATAGGAAATTGTGGCCCAGAGAGAGGCAGGCACTTGCTTCAGTACAAACAGGTAGCATCAGAACTGGAATTCAAATGCAGCTCCTTTAACTGCTGATCCACCACTCTTCTTACATTAGTAGGGGGCTGTCAGATCATTTTAGAGGAAGCTGTAGGATAAGGCCTTTTCAAATCATGTAGAATGGAGAATCTTCTTTGTTACATCCCTATTTCAGTTAAGAAAGAATTAATTCTCTTCTATATAAATTGTGTTAAATAAACAATAATTGGTTAAGATGAAGTGGTCTTTTTCGTCTTCCTAAAGCTGTTTGTGTAGAGTAGTGGGGAAATTACAGAGTTCAAAGAAAATGTATAGCCTCATTGGACATAATTTCCCCTCCTGTACTCTGTGACCTGCCCTTATCTTTGCTTCTCCCACTTGAGATTCCATCTCTGGATTCCTTTGCAGTGTCAGTCCCCCAAGACTACATTGCAGACCCTCCTTACCTCCATCTCATAGATTCCCCTGCTTCCTTTGTGATGCAGCTCAGGTACCATCTTCTGAAGAAAACCTTTCCTCATCTCTTCCAACTATTAGTATGCAGATATATGGGGTGTGCAGGGAGGACTAGCATCTTGGTGTGAGGGCTGTCAAGCCCTCTTCAGGACTGCTCATTTACATTTGATGTTCACCTTTCACCCAACTCTCACCTGTGACTCCAAAAAGCTATGGCATGTGCAGCAGCCACACCCCAGTAAAACCATCTCGGCTGACAGGCTGAAGGTAACTAACAGGTCTCAAACCTGTTAGCAAGTTAGGGGAATATCTACCACAAGCATGTGAAGACTTCCCAGTAGGATGGGCAGATGAGAACAATTTGTTCTAGCGGCCATGAAGGCAGCTGAAGCAGGTGCTGTGGAGCACTTAGAGTCTGGTCAGATATCAAAGATGCCTTGGTCATCCATTGCATCCCTGGCCATCACCAGCCATCTTGACTTTTGTCCTGCCACTGGACTTTGATCTCTGGAAGAAAGAGTAAGGGTGATGACTTTGTGCAACTCTACCTCACTTAAGTCCAGTGTATGAGCAAGTAAAGACATCACCTGTGATGTCATTGGTCCTCTTCAAAAACAAAGGACAAACAACAACTAGTATTCCCTCTTAAACTACTTTGCATTTAACATACTCTGTGTATACTTGTATTTATTCATTTTATATTTTTGCTATATGTGTGTGTGTGTATATATATATTTTATATATATATATATGTATGTATGTATGTATGTATTTGTTGGCCCTCCCTATTAAAATGCAGCTCTCTGTGAATAGAGAATGTTTCATTCTTTGTATTTGTATCCCAAATCCTACCACAATTCTGGCACATTATAGATACTTAATAATACTTGTTTATTGATTTGACTTTATAATTGCAATTTTAATTAGGCCATACATTTATTTAATTTATTTAAATGTAATATGTAATAATAACTCAGCATTTATTAAAATATCAAACTTGTAATTTATTTTAAATTATTGTAATAATAAATTTATAATTTATGATCAATTTAATTTCTTTAGAGAAATTTAAGCAATACATTTATTTATAAAGTACGTATTTAGAGGGTGCTTAATGAATACTTGTTGATTGATTTGATTATATTTCTTGTCTGAGAATTTGGATTCAAATCCTGGCTAAGCCACTTACTACCTGTGTGACTATGTATAGGTCACTTCACCTCTTGGGCCTCACTTTCCTCATTAGTCTAATGAAGAAGGTGGACAATATCTGAGGACCTGTCCAACCTAAAATGCTAAGTAAAAATTCCTCCAAATGGGACAAGAGAGACTACCACTTGATATTTCTGTTTTGCTTTCCAGATATTGTGAAACCACCTGGCTCTTTGCAGCCCTCAACTGACTTCCCTTTAGCTGTAAATACGTCCCCACCCTCTATGCAGATGGATCCATCCTCTGGCACTCTACCTCCTCCCTATCAGCTAATCAATTTACCAGCACACCTGGAACCTCTTCCCATTCAGGATGATCCCCAAGACTACCTCTTGCTCATCAACTGTCAAAGCAAGAAGCTTGAACCCACAAGGTAAAATCCTTCACTGTCTGATCTTTTTTAAAATGTGGTGTTTACAGCTTTTGCAACTCAAGCTTAGAGGTCTGCTTTCCCTGCAGGAATTATGTCGTATATTGAGGTTAATTGATATGCAGGGAGGTGGCAGGAGAGATCTTAACTGTGGGTTGCAGGGTGCAGGCTCATTTCACAAGGCTCTGTCAGAAGGCTGTATGCTGCTGCAGGTTGTTAGATGTAGCCTCTGTTGCGGACTTAACTTGCCTACGAGATTTCACTGATGTGTAAATGGTGATCTTACTCCATTTCTTATGTGATTATAAACCAGCCAAGGGTCCTCTTTTGTTTCTGAAGAAGGAGAGGAATATCTACTTCTCGAAGACTTTGAAAGCAAAAAGATCCCATTGCTGTGAGTGTTGGTGTTCTGTGGCTCCTTGGGGGAATGGGGATGTCTGTGTGTGAGGAATTAATTACAACAGGTAAAATCCCTACATAACAAAGGCCGAGGGACATCCAAATTGTTGAATTGGAATGGAATTTAATTTAATTAAAATATACTGCTAGAATTCCTCTTTTTCATCTGAGTGACCAGGGAGAATCAATTTGAATCTAGGAGACAGAATATGATACAAAGGAAAGGTCTGGGGACCTGGAGTCATAAAGAACTGGACCCAAATCCCAACATTGGCAATTACAAATGACCTTGAGAAAGTCTTCTCAGTTTCCTCACCTGTAAAATGACGGGGTTGAACTAGATGATCTTGAAGGTTCTTTCCAGTTCTGAAACAATGATTCTCTAAAGTTGGAAGGATTCAGAACCTTTCTAAATCCCCCCCGCAAAAAAAAATTAAAAAAAATCCTACCTTCCTCTTCCACAGTCCTGGATCTAATCATGTCTAGTTTGACATTTTAGGTGGGTCTGCATAGCTAATTGGTATATTTGAGGGAGATAGGGGTAAGGAGAGTTGGAAGGCAATAGTTATTTGATGCCTCTTTAGTTTAGAAAGAGCTTTGAGTCAAGAGACTTGCATATGATTCACCAATGGGGAAACAGTGTAGGAAGGAGCTCCTTCTCGCCAGATTTCAGAGTCCTTGGCTTAACTCCTGGTGAGTTACCTGGAGTGTGCTAGGGGGTTGTCCAGGGTTTCACAGCTAGTAAGTGGGTAGCCCAGATTTCAGAGTCCTTGATTTAACTCCTGGTGAGTTACCTGGAGTATTAGGGGGCTGTCCAGGGTCTCACAACTAGTAAGTGGGTAGCCCAGATTTCAGAGCCCTTGACTTAACTCTTGGTGAGTTACCTGGGGTATGCTAGGGGGCTGTCCAGGGTCTCACAGCTAGTAAATGGGTAGCCCAGATTTCAGAGCCCTTGACTTAACTCCTGGTGAGTTAGCTGGGGTATGCTAGGGGGTTGTCCAGGGTCTCACAGATAGTAAGTGGGTAGCCCAGATTTCAGAGCCCTTGACTTAACTCCTGGTGAGTTAGCTGGGGTATGCTAGGGGGCTATCCAGGGTCTCACAGCTAGTAAATGGGTAGCCTGGCCCAGAGCCCAGTGTTTCCTGACTTTCCTGATCAGTGCATCACACTGACTTGATGATGGATGTAAAAGCATTTAAAGAACCATAAAAAGGGAAACTTGGGACTGACTCCTTTCTCTGCCCTTAAAGCACATGGTAATTAAGTTGTCAAACAAGTTCTTTCTTTATAGTAGGTTACCATCATGTGAGCCAGGACCTTATTCTTTGGATCTGTTGTATAGTCTTTTGTAGTGAGGTATACTGAGCTTTTGCTTGTGGGCCTTTTATGGGGGTGTGGAAGGCATTTTCTCCTTTGACCAGAGGAAGGTTCTTTGTATTTGTTGTGATGGGATTTTGCCTGTAGAAGAAAGGTTGTTTTTTTTTTAATCTCACTAGTTAATAATATACATTCTAACTTGATTTTGCACTGTTTGCTGTGTGTGTTTTAAGATTTCATATCTCCAGCTTTACTTCCTCCATAACTAACCAAGGTTCCTCTTAAAAGTAGGAGTGTCACTATTCCATTGTTGACTTTTTCAAATGGACTGCCATACTACAGGTTTTTAATACGTTTTCCCTTTTGCCTGGAGTCATCTCTTAACCAATAATAGCTCACATTTACATAGGTCTTTAAGGTTCATAAAACACTTTGTATATATTATTTCATTTGATCGGTGAGGGCACAGCTGTTGCAATGCTGTGCTGCTCTGGTAGGAATAGCCGTATAATCAATCATTCTGCAATCATGTTCGGTATATAAATTATGAATAAGTAGGAATCTCTTAATAAGTACTTCAGGGTACTAGAGAGGCAGTAATAGAATAGAGAGCTCAGGGTCAGGAAGACCTGAATTCAGATCCTAACTCTGACGAGTGCTGTCTGTGTGACTTTGAGACAAATCATCGGATGTTTCCGTGCCTCATTGAGGCACTCTGTGTTGCAGAACCAGTTTTCTCATCAGGAGTTCTCTATACCAGTGAAATTAAATATCTGCTTTAAAAAAAAAAAAAAGTACCTCTTATATGCCCAACACAGTGCTAGGGGACACAATCCTTTTTTTCAATTCACTTCCAACTTAACAGTTATTTATTAAAAAGCTACTAAGTCCCAAGTGTCATGCTCCCTCAAGGAATGTACATTCTATTTAATGCATAAAGCATAGACATGAAGTAATTATAGAACAAGACAGCATAAATTGAAGGATTAAAATATGGGGGACACTAGCATTATAATTCAGGGAAAGGAAAGCTCCCTATGGGCTTGAGTCATTGGAAAGGTGTCACAGAAAGGTGGTTGGGAACTAGGTGTGCCTGTAATCAGGGTAAGGATTTGGATGGGCAGAGACACAGGAGACTGCATTTCAAATCATATGTGAACAACATGAAAGCAGAGGGGAGGACAGACATGAAAAGTAAAGCGATCAGATTGAGCGATGTGTTCTAAACAGAGCGGACCTCGGGGTGGGAATTGTAGGATACACAGTAGCACAGACAACTTCAAGTCAGACTCTCCAGAATCTCGACTAAGGATTTCGGACTCGTCTTCAGCTGATCTCATTATCTTCCCTTGAAACATGCTCCTTCTGCGGACTTCTCTGTTAGTTACTATTGATGCCTCCAGCCTCCATGTCCCCTAAACTTGAAACCTCAGAGTTACTCTGGACTCTTCCTGCTTCTATGACCACTTCCCTCTCTCTCTCTTTCTCCTCACGGCATCTGGGCAGTCCCGCTATTTCTCCCCTCGAAGTCTCTTCGGTCTGCCTCCATCAACCAAGTTCAAGGCTTTATTGCCTCCTGCATAGTCTCAGGGGTTTGCTGGAGCCAATTGTTAAATTTTCAGTGTGAGCATTTATACTTCCAAAGTCAATAAATGTGACAAATCAAGGCTCCATTTAGTGTTTTATTGATTATCTAGGTTTAAGAAATTGATGAAAAAACTGTTAATAACACAGATTAAGCTTAAAAGTAAGTTGTATATACATTTTATTTTTTAAAGGCATTGATGTGAAATAAAAATGTTAAACATTAGGAGCAGCTAGGTGGGGCAGTGGATAGAGCTCCAGCTTTGGAGTCAGGGGGACCTGAGTTCAAATTTGGCCTCAGACGCTCGACACTTACTAGCTGTGTGACCCTGGGCAAGTCACTTAACCCCGATTGCCTCACCAAAAAAAAAAGTTAAATATTTACTAACACATGCTTGACTAGACTGTTGTGATAATTTCCTCCCTGCTGTCTCTGCCTCTAGTCTTTTCTCTTCCCAATCTATTATCCATTTTCTGTTTGCCAAAATAATCTTTGTAACACACAGGTCAGAACTCCTCATTCTGATGCTTAAGATCTTCCACAATGTGTCTGAGGTAGCTTGGTGGCACAGTGGGCCTGGAATCAGAGAGACCTGAATTCAGATCTGGCCTCAGATACTTACTGGTTTTGTTCCATTGGACAAATCACTTCTCCCTTCTTTGCCTCAGTTTCCTCAGCTGTAAAATGGGAATAACAATAGCACCGGGGGTAGCTAGGGAGCTCAGTGGATAGAGCACCGGGCCTACAGTCAGGAAGATCTGAGTTCAGATCTGGCCTCGGACACTTAACTAGCTTTGTGACCCTGGGCAAGTCACTTGACCCTGTTTGCCTCAGTTCCTCATCTGTAAAATGAGCTGGAGAAGGAAGTGGAGAACCACACCAGTATCTTTGCCAAGAAAACCCCACAGACATCATTAGCAAACTGTGATCCGTGGAGTCATGAAGAGTCAGAGAAAACTGAATTACTCAACAACAACAGCAAATAACCCCTATCTCCCATGGTTGTGAGGATCAAATGAGATAATATTTGTAAAAAAAGCACTTAGTATAGTGCCTAGCATATAGTAGGCACTATATAAATCCCTACTCTTTTTCCCCTGTCTCTAGCCTACCTTTCTAGCCTTCTTTAATAGTTTTCTCTTTTACATACACTGTCTTCCAGATAAATTGGACTGCAAACTATCTGCTCCCTGATTTAATTTGCCTTTGATAATTAAATCTTCATTAATTAAATGCATTAATTTAGGTAGATACTAATTAATTAAACCCATTAGTTGAATTATCTGATTAATTTGATCTTCACACCTCTTTGATTTTATATAGGCTATTACCCCTTGCCTGGAATAGTCCTGTTCATTTCTGCCTTTTGAAATCTTCTTCCAGACTCAGCCCAGGGGCTGCTTCTACCATGAAGCTTTCCCTGCCCCCACCCTTCCCCCAGCTTCAAATGTTCCTGGATCACTTTGACACTTGTGCTTTGAGGTAGGGGTGAGAGAGCAAAATGATACAGATGGAAAGAGCTCTTTCTTTTTGCCTGGAGTCAGAGGACCTGGGTTTGTGTCCAGCCTCTGATGCTTACTTATGTGATCCTGGGCAAGTCACTTCAACTCCTAGGCCTCAGTTTCCTTCACTGTAAAATAAGGAGTTGGCACTAAAATAAGGAGTTGGCCTAAGTGCCCTCTGAGGTTCCTTCCGAGCTCCAGATCTGTGATCATAGGATACTCCTGTCACTCGCCATCAAATATTTCTATGTTTATAGATCTCTTACCTCCTGCCAGTTTTTTAGCTTCTTCAGGGGAAGGACTGTGCTGTTTTTCATCGTGGCATATCCAGTCCCTTCAACGGGGCCTTGTTTCATAAAAGTTCATTGAATTGAATTTGTTGAAATAATTGAATTGGGAAGTCTGGGAGGATGGTGGAAAGAACTGGATTAAATCCTGGTTTTGCCCCAAGGCTATCCTATACCTGTATAGCATTGAGCTGGACCTCTGAGATCTTCTAGCTCTAAGCCTGTGATCGTATGAATTCAGCTCTGCCTATTGCCTCCTAGAGAATTGTTAGGGCTTTTCAAGCAGGGGAAATGACATGCTGAAAATGGTGTTTATTCAGGGATGTGCTGGTAAATGTGTAACAACTGGTTGTCCGTGGGGTGGAGGGGTATATACACAGCAGCCTTTTAAGTTTAATTAAATCTTGATAACCAACAAAAGCCCTCATTTATACAGGTTGCTGGCTTCTGAGATGTAAATGCTCATACCGAAAATTTAACAATTAGTTCTTACAAGGAGCGTCAGACTGGCTCCAGCTCCTGTCTATATTTAAACCTCTGCATTTATCTGTTATCAGTATGAAGAATGGGACCAGATTTGGTGACTGGTTAGCTATGGAGTAAAAGAGAGGGACAGGGTCAAAGGTAACTGCAAGGCTTTAAGCCTATAGGATTGAGGAATGATGCTGCTCGGGATCCAAGTAAGGAAGGTGGGATGCTGAGCAATAAATTTACAGGGAAGGTGTTGACTTTAAGATGACAGTAGGGCATCCACACGGAAATACCCTTTGGGCAGTTGAAAGTAATGAGTCAGACTCTGGCAAGAACTGGGGTGGGGATAGGGGATGAAGAATTAGATTAGTGGTTGAATCCATGAGAGTGGATGAGTCCTATATGACCCAGAGCTGGAAGGGACCTTGGAGTTCATTTTGGCCAAGAGTTCTTAACCTGGGCCCTATGAACGTACCTTTTGATAAATTATGGGGCAGCTAGATGGCACAGTGGATATCTAAGGTCAAATCCAGCCTCTAACACTTACTGGCCGTGCAACCCTGAGCAAATCACTTTAGTTCCTCTTTGCCTCAGTTTACTCATCTGTAAAATGGGGATAATAATAGCACCTATTACAACAAGCAGACTTGTGAGGATCAATTAAGATAATAATTGTAAGGTGCTAAGTACAGTGCCTGGCACATAGTAATTGAGAGAGATAGATATAAATATATACACATGTATGTACACACATGTATATGCACATATGTATCTGTACATGTAAAATAAATACATATGAATATATTTATTTATATGTGTATATTAACTACTGATAACTCCATTTCAGTTTAATCTGCTTTCCTTTGTAATCTTATCTATTTGACATTGTACATTTTAAAACATTCTGGAAAAGGATCCTTAGTTTTCACTTAGAGGTTAAGAACTGCTGCCCATTCTGCCAATGTTATGATTTCACAGAGGAGGAAAGAAAGTGATTTGCCTAAAGTCCCCAATCTTTTAAGTAGTACAGCTGGGATTTGAACCCAGATCCTCTTGATTCCTAAGCCAGAGTATTTTCCACTGTATCCTGCTTTCCCCAAGGGAGAAAATGTAACAAGGAGAATAATCAGAATTCAATTTATATAATACTTTCCAATCTACAGAGTGCTGTCCTCAAGGCAAGAGGCAGCTAGATGTATAGAGCGCTGGGCCTAGAGTCAGGAAGACTCATCTTCCTGAATTCAAATCTGGCCTTAAACACTTATTAGCTGTGTGACTCGGGGCAAGTCATTTAACCCTATTTGCCTCAGTTGTTTCATCTGGAAAATGAGCTGGAGAAGGAGGTGGCAAAGCACTCCAGTATCTGTGCCAAGAAAACCCCAAATGGAGTCATGAAGTGTCAAACACGACTGAAAAATGACTGAACAACAAGGCCTCATGTCAACCTTGTGAAGTATATAGTGCAGTTTGTTTTATCCTCATTTTATAGATGAGGAAACAGACTTAGAGGATAGGTGATTTGCTCATGCTGACATGAGTAAGAACTATTGGAGCCTGGTTTCTTCAAACCAAGACTTCTTCTGGCCTGTTAGTGCCATGTAGCTTCTCAAGTAGCAGGGAGAAACTATGAAATCATGGGGAAAAAATTGAACTGGAAATTCTGAAGGTCAGGACTATTGTCTCATTTCTGCCACTAAACTCTTGTATCTAAGGTAACCAATGAGTTTCTGTGGCATAGTGGAAAGTGCACTGTATTAAAATCAGGATCAAAACATGGGATTTCATATTCTAACTTGAACATTAATTTTATGATGATAGATAAGCCACTTCACCTCTGAACTTCAATTTCCACACCTGTAAAATGGGTGGAATTTCATAATCCCATTCTGAATGGTCTGTTGAAAGGTTTAAATGAGATGATGTATATAAAACATGTTGCAAACTTCAGAGTGCTATATAAATCCATTACGATTGTCAGCATCAATAAATATGGAGATAGCTAACTGTCATTCCCCATCTTACAAAACTTTGTGACCTTGACTAATCATTTAAACTTTCTGGGCTTCAGGTTCCCCATCCGTAAATGGAGTGTTGAGATCGTCTCTAGATTCCTTCCAGTTCTAAAATGCTTGTGATTCTATGGCCAAGACACAAGGGACTTAGACAATTGAACCTTGAGAAGGAGGAGAGACCAACTCAGGAAGATAAGCAAGAGAGAGAAGCAGGATAGTGGCAGTGTCACAGAACCAAGGGAGAAAAGTGTTTGTTTTTGTTTTTTTTTTTCAAAACGTATGGTCAGCAGTATCAAATGCTACAGAGAGGTCCAGGAGATGGAGACAGAAAATTTATCCCAAGTTATTTCAGTTATTCCATTGAAATCCACCAGGGGTTCTCATTCAACCTAAGCAGATGGTGAGTGCATCTTGTTCAGCTATCAGCCGAAAGGTATGGGTTTTGCTAATGCCATTAGTTTTGTGTTGGCTTGTGTGTGTGAAAGCTGTTTGAAACCCATCCCCAACCCCCAGCACCTTTAATTCCAATCCTAATTTAGCTGAACCTTTCTCTGCATGTCCAAACAAAAGGTATGGTGTGAAGAAAAGTAATTTCCATTTCTTAAGGTTTGTTATGACTTGGAGGTGGTTAATTAAGTTTCTTAGATTTCTAACTCTCTTCCCATATGGTACTTGCATTATTGGCTGGTTTCCAGTGAGGGGGAGTAACTGAAAAATAGATAAAAATGCAAAATCCATCAAATCCCTGCACTGCAAACCTACATAGCTCACACCAAATTCTAACCAAACTGTATCATCTTTATATTTTTAACTGTACCAGGCAAGAGATGGACATAAGTGGGTAAAAATTACCTAGTAAAGCTTCATTTAAGTGTTCAGGGGAGAATATGTCTGTATGTTAAACATTTACCCTTCCCAGAGTTTAATAACCCTTCTGAGTCTAGTTGTGGGAGAATTTGGGGGAGTGAAGGAAGGCAGAGAAGGTGGAAGACCTAAGGGGAATTGGGGTGCATTTGGAGTTGTTATTTGTAGTGATATTATTGTGTACTAGTTGGAATATTTTCTGTCCTCACAATTTAACTGCTACCTTCCATTCATTTGATGCATAACTATGCTCATTGCCCTGGTTAGACCACATTTGGAATGCAATTTTCCATTTTGGCCTCTGTATCATAGATAATCTAGAAGCTGTCCAAAAGAGGGCCTTGAGCACATGTAAAATGAAGAAACTGGGGATGTTTAGCTTGAGAAAGAGAAGACTCAGGGGGAGTACAATAGTTCAGCTGTCTTCAAATACTTCAAAGACTGTCCTGTAGAAGCATTAGATGGGTTTTTTGGCCCCAGAATACAGATCTAGGAACAATTAGGAGAATTTGCAAAGAAGCAAATTTAGTCTGGTAGAAGAGAAAGCTTCCTGACAATTGAACTTATCCTGTGGTGGAATGGATGCATTGGAGGGGTAGTAGAATTCTCTGTGTTAGACGTCTTCTAGCAAAGACTGGATGATCACTGTCGTGCATGGTATTGAAGGGATTCTTCCTTTTACAGCACAGATTAGATCCAGATTCTAATTGAGTTCCCTTCCATCTCAGAGGTTCTGTGATTTTTGTGACTGAGTGAATAGGACACTCAGCCCCCCCCCCCCCAAAAAAAATCAAATTGTATATTTTAATTGTTAAGCTGTTTGGTTTTGTTTTTTTGGTTAAAACTGAGTAAGTTATCCTGTGCTTTCACCATACTAACAATCTGTTCTGTCCTTAACAATTCTTGTCTAGACCACACGCTGATTCGGCAAAATCCACCTCTTCGGAGACCGACTGCAACGATAATGTCCCTTCTCATAAAAATTCTGCTTCCTCTCAGAGCAAACATGCGGTGAATGGCTTTTTTCAACAGCAAACCATGTATGACCCTCTACCCTCCCGAGCTGCCTCTGTTTCTATAGACTCCGGCCTATATAAACTGCCCCGGAGTTTCTCCCATGACGTCTTACCAAAGACAGCATCTCCACTGAGCACCGATGTGGACGGAGAGCTTTATGTTTTTAATACGCCATCTGGAACATCCTCACTAGAAACGCAAATGAGACATATCTCCATTGGTTATGACATTCCCCCCACACCTGGGAACACGTACCAGATTCCAAGGACTTTTCCAGAAGGAGCTTTGGGTCAGACGTCCAAGTTAGAGACGATCCCAGATATTCCTCCGCCACGGCCCCCGAAACCACACCCAGCTCACGACCGATCACCTGTGGAAACATGTAGCATTACCCGCACTGCCTCAGACACGGACAGTAGTTACTCTATCCCCACTGCTGGGGTCCCACCGTCTCGTAGTAATACCATTTCCACTGTGGATTTGAACAGATTGAGAAAAGGTCAGCCTTTATGGACTTGCAAATTCCACTGTGTTCCTTGTACCAGAATTTGAATAAACGGGTGGTCACTGGGCTTTTCAGGGGATCTGATTTTTCAGAAGCGGTTAAGCAGTTATGATTTCTATCTTGTTTGTCAGCTATAACCACACTAGCCTTCTGTCCTGGCAGCCTGGTGATAGGTTGCTGACCTCCTCTGAAACTTAGCCTTTAAGACTGTTCTTTAGCCTCATCAGGAATTCCTTTCCCCTAATCCCAGGCCTTACCTAGTCCAGGAAAATGAATTGGAATAACCACAGAGCTCCTCTCCTGTGCTTGTGGATACCATTTTTAAAAAACCTTTCACTGGTTCTGCTTCCCCTTTCTGTGAGGTGTCATGGTTCATGACTGCAGGCAGGGGTTTTAAACCATCTTAGTTGCAAAGCCACTTTTAATGGCTCTTTGTAAATATCTATCCAGAAAATGTTTCATGGAGGCATTTTTCTATACCTATGTAAATTGCGTGCTCCACAACCCCACTTTCCACATCCTGTTGTAACAATGCCCTCAAAGTTCATGATGTAGAAGAAAAAATGTTGTAAGTAAAATGGCCATATGATGGGATCTTCCTATAGAAATCTCCTTCATGGAAAATATATACTTTGTCCAAGATAAGACCTGCCTTATACCAGAATCCATGCTATGGATCTTCCATTCTATCCATCTTCAGTGTGTAACATTTTAAAGGATTTTCCTGAAGGTCATACACATACCTGTTTGACGTTAAATGTCTCTCTCCTCCTTGTTCTTTTGGAACTGTGCAAAATTAATTATTTTTTCTAAAGAAATTTGTGTGTGTTGCCATGGAAAAACCACTGAATTTGCAGTTGGAAGACTTAGGTTGGAATCTCAGCTCTCTTATATATTACCTGTGTGAAATTGTGCCAGTAACTTAAAGGCCTCAGCTTCCTGCTCTATGGAACGAGGGGGGTGGATTAGATGATCACCTCAGTTAAGCCCTTTCCAGTCCTAAATCTATAACCCTCTAAGACAGAGGTTTTTAAGCCTTTTATGGGTCATGGATCCCTTTGTTGTCTAGTGAAAACTGTGGACCCTTCCAAGGTTTGTAAATACATAAAATAAAAATCAGCATTACATAAGGAACTATAATATTGAAATACAGTTATCAGAATATTTAAAAAATAATATATATTCTTTGTGAATATTAAATAAAACATTATGTTCAAAATCTAGGCAAGTTAAGGCTATTGTTGTCTATGTATGAAGGAGATACTAAATTTCACTCAGAGGTTAGTGGAAATAGAAATGTTATATTTTTCCCATCCAAGTTCACGGCCCCAGATAGGGCTATGCTATGACAGGTTTTCTAAACAGTTTTAATGTAGAACCAACGTACCATTCTGTTAGGTGAAGATTTCATTTATATTTTTAAAAATAGGGCAGAATTTGAGTGGAGAAAAGTCCAAGTTCCACTTTAAAATAAGGAGATCAGATTGATAAAAGCTTGTGTAAAGTGTGTATGTCTATTGTCCCCCTCTCCCTGCTGCCCACAACTGCCAAGACATCTGTGTCTTGTGAACACAGCTCACAGGCATAGTTAAGTGTAAGATTACAGTCATGAAAATAAACCAATACTAGTCTAGCTTGTTAATGAAACTCTAGCGCAGTACTAGAAATGGGTGACTGAATCAACCCACTAATGAATCAGAGGGTGAAGGTTACTGTTGCCCAGCTTCTGCTGGCCCTCAGCAAAGATGGCCTTAGGGGTAGCAGGAAAACTTCCTTGTAACAAGCAGGAAAACAGAGATACCTACCTGTGTGCTTCTATCTTCACTATTCACTTAAGTTCATGGGTTCTCAGACCTAGACCTGGAAGGGACCTCAGATTTACCTTCTCAGCACATAACCCACACTTGGACTTATAGCAAGGCATTGATCGTCTTAGAAGTTGGCATGACCGCCTTGGGTAGAGATTCCAGGAAAATGGACTTTCAAAACTATACATTATAGGCAAGTGGCTATTTTTAAACTATTTTTCAAGCTCATTATTTTGTCCAGTGTGGAGAAGATATACAAAGTAGCAGAAGTACAAGGAATACACAGACCCCTTTTACAAAAGATCGATGTTTTCATCAACATCGAGTACTCTCAGTGTGGGATCTCCTTACATGAGGGCAAATCACAACCAAACTCAGATTTAGTAGAGAAATCCTAGGAAGTTCATTCAGCAGACGTTTGCAGCCATTATATGTTTTGTTTTTGTCTGTGTCATCCTCCAGGGCCTAAGATAGGGTCTCCTACATGGAGGGCACTTGACAGATGATGGTCAGCTGCTTGGTTCAACAGAAAGAGTAACTGGTTCTAGGATCAAAGGTCCACACCCATTTCTGATCAGTACCACCACCTACTTGACCTTGGCCTCCTAGAGCCTCAGTTTCATCATATAAGATGAGAGAGTTGAACGAGATGGTTTCTGAGGTTCCGTCCACTTCTAGCTCTGTAATCCTATGACCCGTTGAGTAAGGGCCAGATATATGTGTTAGGTACTATGCTAGGTGGTGAGAATACAGAGACAAATGAAATTGCCCCTGCCCTCAAGCCACTTACATTCTTCCAGATAATAACATTAAGAGCTCACAGAAGTAAATACAAGACATACGACTTCTCTTTCCCAGAGACACATGGCTAGTAAGTGTCAGGAGCAGTATTTGAATCCAGGGTTTCCTGACCCCAAGCCCAGGCCACTGTGTCCACTCTACCAGACTGCCTCCTTTGTATAGTGCTTAGAATCAGGAAGAGTGTGTAAGCCAACCAGATTGATGCCATTCTGTTAGAGGGCATTTTAAAATCTTATATTTTTTAAAAAATTTTATTTAGGCTTTTTTAATATAAAGAAAACGAATCATTCCTGATTTTGCTGGAAATGACTTCTAATAGGAAGAATTTGTAATTTATTGTTCTTTCTTTTAGACGCTAGTTCTCAAGACTCCTATGATATTCCACGAACATTTCCAACTGATAGATCTAGCTCACTTGAAGGCTTCCATGGTCACCTTGTAAGTATAACTGACCTCTGGCATCTCACTATGTGCCATCCCAGCAAAAATTTTGTGCCTTTTAGCATCATGGAACTTTAAAAAAAAAAAAAAGATGTTTAAGTGGACAAGTAGCACCTTATTTCCAAGAAGTAGGTGGGATTTATCACACTGACATCACCTCAGATCATCACTTTTGTCTTTATTAAAAGAAACGTGTGTTGTGTGTTTTAGAAAAACAAAAACATGTTGACAATGGGGAGTGTATCAAGTGAAGAATTGGATGAAAACTACGTCCCAATGAACCCCAATTCTCCTCCACGACAGCATTCCAGCAGTTTTACAGAGCCAATTCATGAAGCTAACTATGTGCCGATGACACCTGGGACGTTTGACTTTTCATCGTTTGGAATGCAGGTCCCGCCTCCTGCTCACATGGGCTTCAGGTCAAGCCCAAAGACCCCTCCCAGAAGGCCCGTTCCTGTGGCAGACTGTGAGCCGCCCCCTGTGGATAGGAACCTCAAGCCAGACAGAAAAGGTGAGGACAGCATGCAGTACCCTTTTTTGGTTTTGGTTTTGTTTTTTAATGTGGTTATAAATAGCATTGAACTACTTTAATAATGTCTCAAATGGAGATGGAAAATGCCTCAGGTTGTGTGTGTGTGTGTGTGTGTGTGTGTGTGTGTGTGTGTGCACACGCGCTCAGTGATCTGCTGAAATTAAGTACAGAAATAATTGTTTAAGGATTATTAATTAATCTCTTGGTATAGTATTTCACCCAATTATCTTGAATGGATCATTTTCTGTTCCCCAGAATAGAATCTAATCATGGTGAGAAATATATTTACAACTTGATGTCATTCTTCATAATTTCAGTAACTCTACCAGGTAAAATATCTATCTATTTGTTACTATAGTAATGTTTTTTTTTGCTGTTTGTTTGTGCCTGTGATGGTGTTACAGGTGAAAGAAAGCTTTTTTTTCATTCTGGCTTTTGACCTATACGTGTAAAATACAGTTTAAAAATACATGAGTCATTGCAATAATTTTGGTAAGATTTGCACACAAGTTTAAAACATGTCCCTGTGGAGGAAGCTGTTATTTGTGTGACCATGGGCAAGTCGCTTAATCTCTTGTCTGATTCATTTTCCTCTTTTGTATAATAAGGGGGTTGGTCTAGATAACTTCCAGAGCCCCTTAAAGTTAAAAAACTGTTTTTCTGATGCAGCCAAGTGACATGATACATAGAATTCTAGGCCTGGTGTCAGAGAGACCTGAGTTCAAATCTTGTATCCCCAGCCTCAGTGTCCTCGGCTGTAAAGTGAGCATAATAGTAACACCTCTTTCAGGGGGGTTTTGTGAAGATTAACTGAGAGACTCTATGTAAAGTGCTGTCACTTGAAGTGCTACATGGAGGTTAGCTATTATTATTAGGCTGTGAGCCCCCATTGTTCTGTGTCTGTGTCCCTAAAATCTAGCTAAGGCTCAGGCACTCAGAGGACGGTCATTCATTTCATTGTGTGCTGAATGACTTCATCCTATCTTAATTACTTTATGCATCATAGAATTATCTGTACTGGGGAGAGGTTTTTGTTGTTTGTCAGTCTTTTTCAGTCGTGTCCGACTCTTTGTGTCCCCTTTTGGGGTTTTCTTGGCAGAGATACCAGAGTGGTTTGCCATTTCCTTCTCCAGCTCATTTGACAGATGAAGAAACTGAGGGAAACTGGATTAAGTGACTTGCCCAAGGTCACACAGTCAAGGTAGCATGGAGTAATGGGCAGAGGGATGACCTTAGAATCAGAAAGGCCTGAGCTTAAGTTTTACTTCCAGCTCGTACTAGCTATGGCACCATAGGCAAGATAATGTCTCAGGTATACCAAGCAGCTTTTTAAGACTTGAAGTTACAGATGCCTTATTAATCAGCATTAAGAATGCTGGGAGCTGCTATTTCCCTGTGTCCTTTGTATTTACTTATATGTGTTTGTGTATGTTGAAGTTCCTTCAGGGTAAGGACTGTGGATTTGTGCGTAGAAGACCTTCAAAGCACTATTCGTGTTCTGCTTGCTGTTATTATTACTAAAGAGAATGGGATCCAACTCTCGTACAGTTGATTACCATAGGTCACATGTGTCTTCTGATGTGATCCATTGACCTGCTGGGTAGATTACACTCTTGCTTTATAAAGGACTTTCTCACTTATATTATGGAATGATAGAAATTGATCCCTTTTTTTAAAAAAAATTTTATCTTTTTCAAGTTTATTTAACTTATAAAAAGCGAATTCCTTGCCAGTTTATAGATTTATCTTTTTTTTAAAGACCATCTGCGTAGATTTAAGAAAGTGTATGGTAAGAAAACTAACAGAAAGCTTATTGTATAGTTGGCAGTAGGATATAGAATAGACCTAGTAAAAAGCATTAAACAGGCTTGCTATACAGTGCCCAAAAAAAGAATTGGTTTTGGTGAGGACCTTTATGTCTTCCACATCAGTGTGAGGAACTCCCAATAAAGATCAGCAACTTGCCTGTGGCTTTTCGTCTTATGAGAGATTAAGTAAATTACTGTGGTCACGTAGTCATTATGGATGTGTCAGAGGCCAGACTTGACCCCCAGTCTTCTTGTCTCCAAGGTTGGAGCTCCATCCAATAAACTGTGCCGTCTTTATCCTTACCAGAACCAAAATATTGCTCTGCATTTTAACTGTTTAGAGCCAGAGAATCTGGTGAAAGTAGAAGTTGACATTCAGTGTTTGAATGAAATTTTAAAACTTGGCTTTTACAAAATGTGTTTCAAAACACATTTAAATGGTAGATTAGTAAGCCTTACTGTGTGATCTGTTATCATTAATGAAAAAAAATTTGGGCAAACATATTGGAGTAAGCATTTATTATGCCACAGTGGATAGAGCGCTGGGTCAGGAAGACAGGGAGTTGTCTCTCTGACCTCAGACACTGAATATCTTGGTGACTCTGGGCAAGTCATTTAATGCTGTTTGCCTTAGTTTCCTCATCTGTCAAACAAGCTGGAGAAGGAAATGGTAAACCACTCCAGTATCTTTGCCAAGAAAACCCTCAAAAGGGATTACGAAGAGTCAGGTAGGACTAAAAAAATGATTGAACAAATGTGCCAGGCACTATGCTGGATACCTGAAGAAACAAATAATATGAAGTATGAAATAATGGCTACTCAGAAGCAGCTTACATTTTAATAGGGGAGAGAGTGAGCACATTAACAAATATATACAGCACAAATGTCAAGTGAACAAATACAAAAATATACAAAGTAGCTTTGACAAACCAGAATTTAACGCTGTGGTCTGGAAATGTATGGGCGGTGTCTGTATTCTACTTAGTAGGATCCAAAATATGAAAACAGGTTTGATTCAAGCTAATATTTAATGAAAATCCATTGAAGTAGTCACTGTTGGGCATGATATCATTTTCAGTGGATGAGTCTCCTATCCCCGTATTATGAAGAGCTAACAGAAAGTAACATGCCAGGCTTACTTAGGATGACAGCTATAGAGGTCAGCTGCTATGGTGTAGATGAGTTTGTAGAATACTTTTGAAGTGATTATATCCAGAAGAGTACACAAAAGCTCCAAAACCTCCTAGATTTAAGGCTTAACCCTGGCTTCTCTACCAGTGAGTGTCATATATATATGCCCTCCTTTCCCCCCCAACCACAGTATAGAGCTTATTTTGAATTTTGGCTTTTTGTTGCCTGGCATTGGATTTGGAAAAAACTGTTTTAGAGATGTTACTCCTTGACAGAATAAACTACAAATCGTGAAGGAGACTAAAATTTTTGAGAAACTGATGTAAGATGACATGTGTCAATTCATGGTTTGGTCCCTAAGGTTAGAACATTACTATAAAAAAATATCGAGACCTAGTGATGAGCCCCAGTCCTCCCAGATAACTAACATGAGGTAGCATCTGTCTTGTCATAACTCTGTTTGCCTATATGTGCTGGTGCTTTCTCAAGCATTCTCATTTATGAGAGTGTCGAGATGTCTGTAGAGTTCTTACAGGGTGTATATGACCTTTATTAATCACCCACTATGTGCCAAGCACTTTGTTGAGCACTGGGAATACGATGACAGAAAGAAAATAATCCTTGCCCTCTTATTCCTTCAATAAAAACAACAGGTAGAGAGATAAATAGATGGACAATGTGTGTGAAGAAATCTAGAAAGTTTGATTCCTTTCATCCTTCTGTCATAATATATGGATCAAAAAGAGTAGTCTAGAGAGTTTTTCTAACCTCCAGTTTTTATTTTTTGATAGTATATTAGTCTAAATATTTTATGCATATGCATGTATATGCATATATAGGCATATATATGTATATTACAAATTTTAATTCAACTTAATAAACATTTAGGCCCTCAGGATATAAATATAAGATATGATGTGGCTTTTTTTTAGAACCTGAATTTGTGATGAAATCATATTATAATACTTGCTTAAGCTTATTATAAAAAATCTGTCATAGGACAAATATTGAGGGGCATAGAGATGTAAAACTGTTAAATTCAAATTAACTTTTTTTAAAAAATGAGACTTTTGAGAGTCAGCATAGAGTGATTGCTAGCATTCCTGACTAGAATCAGGAAACTCCAGGTTAAAATTCTGCTCCTGACATTTACTGACTGTGTGACTCTGGGCAAGTCACTTAATCCTGTTTGCCTCAGTTTCCTCATTTGTAAAATGAACCAAAAGGAAATGACAAACCAAATGCCAAGAAAACCCCAGATAGGGTCATGAAGAGTTGAACGGGACTGAAAAAAATGACTGAACAACAAACCCCCTAATTTAACATGTAAGTGGGACTTTTTTGTTTTAATTTTTTAAATCTTCTTTCACTTTACTTAAGATTGACAACTGTTATTCTCCACTCTTGATTTTTGGGATGCCAACCAGAAATAGCTGGTGGTTTAATCAGCTAAATATTTGGCATCACAGATGATACAGAGGGAAAAAGCCTTTTCTGATGGAATTTTCCTGGATTAGTGACATATTTTCACAGTGACCAATCTTGTGGAATTTTGTAAACATCCTAGGGTAAAAAAACCACTAAGGGACAGTTCGCCCCTTTTAAAAGATGTGGGTGTGCTCATTGGAAGCCATGCCTCTCTCTGGTCTTCTTACCCACTCAGGGGACAGCTCACAAAACAACCTGAGCTGGTTCTTCCCAAACAGAAAGAATTTCAAAAACCATGGAATGGTGGCAAGAGTACTGGATTTGGAATCAGAGGGACCTGGATTTGAATCGTGGCTCAAGTTACTTAATACCTTCTTGTCTTGGGCAAGATATATCACCTCTCTAGGCCATTGTTTAAATTAGATACTAAAGTCCCTTCCTTCTAAACCTAAATATGATTATATATGAGTGTGTGTGTGTGTGTGTGTGAGATACACACACACACACACACACACACACACACTTTACTATACATATTCATCTCCTTGATTGGCAGCTAAATGCTTTAGTGGGTAGAACCTGGAGTCAGAAGGATCTAAATTCAAATGTGAC